CTGGCCCAGTTCCGGCGATGGCTCGGATTTCACGGCGAAAAATTCCTCTTTGGTCAACCCGGGATAGGCTCCAGCGATCTTTGGGGTTCGTGGTTGAGAAAAGTGAGAGGATACGCAGTGTCGGTTTGAAAGTAGAGCTGCACAAAAGCAAATATATCTTTTCGTACCTGAACGATTCGCGGAGCATAGTAGTCTTGGTCGAGTTGCTTCAACGGTAAGAAGCAAGAATTTTGACCATGAAGACTTCCAGTAGACATTGTTGGAGTAGAAGCCAGCGGCTGCGGTCGGAATTTGTTCTGTAGAGATGCAGATTTTCTTGGATGCGACAAAGATTTCGTTGTCGAAGATACCCAAGCGACTGTAGAAGCCGGGGAAAAGGCAAGAAGCGATGCAAAGCAGAGATTCATCATGAATGACAGAGAAGGATTGGAGGGAATTTATATGATCTGTTCACGGACGCAGCCTTGGAAGATAGAGGGGAAGCTAATATTGTTGCCTATAGAGGAAAATTTGTCGTGGATGATTTTCGAAAGAAGTGCATCAAATGGGTAAATGGGCGATGATGATGTCGGTTGATGTGCTGATTTCTACTTCGAGTATTATTTATTTTTGGTTGTCTCGCGTTATGACGTACTTCCGCTACTCCAGTACTACACAACCGTAGAAGGTACTGGAGACGGACAGAAGGTGAAAGCCTGAACTCTACTTTGGAAATCTCTTCTACGTTCTACTCCGTAGGTACGGTAGTTTTCGTAATCATCCGGTACGACGTATCGCCGGGTAGGATATGGGATCCTTGGCCGCCGGCTTGATTTCCAACGGCCTGAGAAGCTTGGAGAGCTTGAATTGAAGATTAAGGCCATCGAACTGACGCTACTATACAGCAGTGTAGAACGAAAATAAGAAAATCTTCATTACAAGTAATCTTCGGTTCCTATTCAAAGACGGGATGATGCCTTGAAACTATTCCGTCAAATCCAATTTCAGGAGGTTCCATACGTGACTAATAACATCGAATGAACGCTGCTGTACGGCAGAGCTTAGCGAGAAATTAAATCTTCGTTCCAGGTCATGACTGGCTCATTTTCTCTGGCCGTAAGGAGTTCATATCCAGTTTCAGTGACCAAAATCGTGTGCTCGAACTGCGCGCTTCGTTTCCCATCACTTGTGACCGAAGTCCAGTTGTCGCCCCATGTATACTCGTCATAGGTTCCTCTATTGATCATAGGTTCGATGGTGAATACGTGCCCGGCTTTGACCGTCCCTTTGGCCTTGTTCTTTTGGTAATGAGGAACATTAGGGATGGTGTGGAACAAGGATCCAATGCCATGTCCACAGTACGTCCTCACAACGCTGCACTTGTTTTTACTGGCAGTCTTATGAATTGCGGTTCCAAAATCACGGTACAGTGTACCAGGCTTGACCAACTCCATTGCAGACGCCAAAGACTCGAAGGCAGTCTTCACAAGCATTTTGCCATCATCGTCTACATTCCCAACACAAAATGTTTCGTTCAGATCACCATGGTATCCACCACGGTTATACACAGACACATCTATGTTCACAATGTCGCCATCTTGAACTTCTCGATAGTCTGGAATACCATGGCAAACCACTTCATTCACTGACGTACAAACGCTTTTGGGGAAACTGAAAGCAAGAGAGACGGAGTTAGATTGCCGCTAGGTGCCAACTTGGCGGCAACTCATCACTCGCAAGGACAACTCACTTGAAGTAATTCAATGGACTAGGATAGCAATCACGCTCGATACAAGCCTCATGAACCACACGATCGATTTCATCAGTCGTCACTCCGACACGAAGTGCCTTTCCAGCGGCATCCAGCACTTCTCGTCCCATTCTGCAGGCGTGTCGCAATCCATATTCCGCATCTAACTCCTTGGATGTGTAGACACGAATACTGTTGTGATTGGCCTTGTCGCGACGCTCCGATTCCGAAACTCCGGCAGGATGGTCTGCATAATCGGGCCGACGAATTTCGGGAGGTACCGTGCGCATTGGGGAATACAACGCCGGACGTAGCCGACCACTGAACGAAAAATCGTGGGCCCAATCTGGCAAGCTTAGTTTTAGTTCGGGCGCAGCATCAAGGGCACAAGATACTCCATTGCGGGGAGGAGTTTTGCGATGTTGGGCTCTGTTGTGGAAAATCAAAGGGTTAGAACCCAAACAATTCAAGGGAAATATGTCGAGAGAGCCAAAAACTCAAACAAAAGGACAAAATAGACGAGATCCATGTACTACTCACCCTCCATTGTTGATCATGACTTGTTTGATGACCGAATGAAACTGCTTGTGCGCTCCATAATTCATTTTAAAGCAATCCTGTGCACAAAAGTAGCTGTTGATACCGAATTCCTTACATTTCGGACAGGCTAGATTGCTGGTGATGGGATTGTTACATCCCGGAGAGGTACAGGTGCGTTCGTCACTTGTCGCCATGTCGCTTTGGATGATGCGCACTTTCAGTATTCAACCCAAGACTTCAGAAGACTGACAGTTTCACCGCTGAAGAGACACTTTTTTTACCAGTGAACTGTCAATATCGATGTACTTCCACAACGAGCAAACGACAGTGAAGTTGCACAATTCGCTTTCAACTTGCACAGCGAAAACTTTCAAAAAACTGCTGTATGATCCTTCCTATTTCTGCGCTAGGATTTGAAACAGTAGGCCGTCAAGTACGGTAGAGGAACATCGTCGACAGATAATTTTATTCATCCACACGTAGTACACAATCATCAATGTTGTTGTTGAGATTTGAGATGCCACTTCTGGAGATAACTGCGCTTCGCCCGCAATCGATCGTGGCCACAAAAAGTTCCAGTCCAATCAGTCATTGAGCCTCTATCCCTATCCGATGAAGCATCTGAGTCGTGTACTACGTCGGACGATGACATTCGATCCTCGCAACATAACTCGTCAACTCGTCAACTCGTCATCCACCGAACGAATACGACGTACGCCGTAGATCAAAATGACAACGCATCCTTTTGGGGAAGCATCATATGTCACTGCATGGTCGGTTTCCGCAAACCCGCCTGTGGGAACCTTCACATACCTCTTTCTCTGACTTTCTGATTTCCTCTGGTGAACCTTTTCTGCTTTCGCTTGGGGGAAAAAATGTCCCAATCCACCTCCCATATCACCGTGCCGCCCCCGTTGCGAGATTTTCTGGCTGGGACAATGGGTGGCTTCGCCGGTAAACTACTCGATTATCCACTTGATACGGTCAAAGGTACGTGGATAGATGAAAGGGACATTTCCTTTTACTGTTTGTTTCTTCCACATGCACTGACATTTTCCCATTACGCCGACTGGCGTCCAGTCCTTTTGCAGACTCAACATGCTACTCATGGTGGCACGTCAAGCGCGCATGTAGCTGGAGGCAACAAACCACCTGTGATCTATCGAGGTGCATGGCACTGTTTGCGTCATACTGTAGAAACCAAAGGCGTATCAGGATTGTACAAAAGCTTGTCATCCCCTCTGTTGGGCAGCATGGCAGAAAATGCTGTTCTTTTTTGGATGTATTCGCATTGCAAACGATGGGTGGCATTTGCTTCCGGTGGGACAGACCCGATAATCGCAGCGCATACAGCTGATCAAAGAGACGAGGAAAACATGACATTGCTACAACTATCCTTGGCGGGAGCCGGAGCTGGATTTGGAGCAGCGTTTGTTCTTACTCCCGTGGAGTTAGTGAAATGTCGGTTGCAGGTACAAAATTCCATGACCTCCGGATTTCGAGTATACAGTGGTTCCATTGACGTTATTGTTCAGACAATCAAAGCGGAAGGGATCACCCATGGCCTATACCGTGGACACATGTCGACGCTACTGCGAGAGATTCCGGGAAATTTCGTTTGGTATGGAACCTATGAAGGAGTTTGCAAATTGATGATTCCACCCGGTGGAACGAAGTCAGATTTGGGACCCGGAGCACACTTGTTGGGAGGAGCACTTGCTGGGGTGGGCTACTGGACGGCATTCTATCCAGCGGATACCATCAAGAGCTTGATTCAAGTGCACCCAGATCATTCGGGCAAAGGCTTTTTTGAAATATTCAAAACTGTATTGCAAGAAGAGGGATTACGAGGTTTGTATCGAGGCTGGGGAGTCACTGCAGCTCGAGCTGCTCCGGCGCATGCTGCTATCTTTACAATCTATGAGCAGAGTCTCAGGTGGATGTCATGACTTCCATGACTGCCATCGACATTATCTACTGCCCATACTACAACAACAAAACCGGATTCTCAGTACAATGATATTGCCCCCCCCTTGATTGTGGGTCAATGTGACACTGGTACACAGAGAAATATAGTTGTACTTTTTCCGTAATCAAATTTCGGTTGTGACTTGCAGAAGAATGGGAATAGAGCATCGGTGTTGCCATTATTTTATTTTTCTCACAATATTCATGTCATCGGCCTTTTTGCCTAAATATGAGGATCCTTCGATTTGCTTGGACTGGTGATGAGTCTTGTTAACTTCTGTACAAAAACACTATTATAACAGTACATTTAATTCTTTGGATTGGAGAATTACCAACCTTGGTCCTGTGACAATCAAAATACAAAGCACTGCTAATTTCACAGCAGTCAGCAGTACCATCGCTTGTTGCTTTGTTTTCACTCTTTGTTCATGATCTCTTGCAAAATGCTGAGAAGGATAGCGAAGACAGAGATCACTTCTGTCACTGACTGTGAAGATGGGAGAAAAAATGGCAGCTAGTACAGGGTAGATAACATTGTGGAACTATCTCATATAAATCCAGAATCAATGTGTGGCATGAATGGGCTGGGGGGTCATGTGCTTGGCATCTTTTCTATAAATTACTACTTTGACTGTTGGACAGTTTTTCCTGCCTTCGTCGAAAAGTACCGTACTTTCTAATGAGCTGTGGTGACCTACTTTGATGATTACATACATTAATTCCCATTTGGCTCGATATGCCATCGCAGATGGCAACCCCTCTTGCTTTGGTGGTCTAGTTGGTTATGACGGCCGCTTCACACGCGGCAGGTCCCGAGTTCGATTCTCGGCCGAAGTATTTAGGGATAAGGATGTTTCAACACTTTACTTTTGCTGTTTGTGCTGCTACTACTTCGAAGTTCTACGTAGTGATACTACAGGTAAAACTTCGTAGCGGTACTCCGAGGGTATCATAGCTGCTCCTGGTTTATGATAGAGAGATTGGACTTCGACAGATCGAAAATGTTGATTGTTAATTATTTGGAAGAGTAATTTACTGTTATTTCTCCATCACGGTTAAAGAATGAGATGGTTTTATGAAATAAATCGGATTTGACTGTGAATTCATAGTCACAAAACCATCGTTCATGTTTGAGTGTAGAGTGTTTAAGGCTAGGGATAACAAAAACTGTTAGCATTTCGGCACCATCTCACTTTCAATCAATGCTCACAGTCACTGTCAATGCTCTGCCGCTACTGCTCTCCAGCCAAGTAACAGTAAGTCGTAATAGTGGAAACATCCAACCTGCACAGAAGAAGTCGAAGACCAAGCAAGTGCAAGAAGAAAGAGGCAGGAAGGCATTATGACCAACCAAGAATTGTATATATTAATAGAAATATTCTATTATACCGAAGTATAATTTGACTGGAAGCCCACTTTGGTGATAATGCAGATTTTTATTTTTCTTTATTGTAATACAGTTCATGGTCGAAATCATTCCAACAATTCCTACAAACTGGTTGGTTTGGAACTTTGTGTTGATCCAACGGAATAATGCTGGCTACGGATTGGACAGGTTTGGACTTTTGAGCTACAATGTATACGAGTGTATATCCTTTGCATAAAGAAATGGCAAAGCAATTCTGACCGTCAATGTACTCCATACATGTCTTCAATCTGAAACCAGGATATTTGATTGCCTGCACAGTGTTGTGACAGGTATCCTGACGCTCTCGGTCTCTGAGCCGTTCCCATAGGCCCAACAAGCAAAAGTCGTCGTAAACCAATTTTCCGTATGAGAAGGAGATGGATGGTTTGGTTGAAGGAGTTCCATCAACCAGGCGGTTCGACAACTTCTTGGCTGTTCTGTACCCAAAATTACTTGCCTTCGAGTTGTCCATTTTTGGGACCGTGAGTCCTTAAAAGCTCTGCCACGCTTTGGTCATATTATAGCTTTGTTGGGTCCCGTTGCTCTTCTTGCCAGAATTGGCAGTATTGGCTTCCCACACTCCAAGTAAGTCCTCTTTCAATGGACTGTTCGGATGCTTGCCGACAAAATGCTTGAAGTTGCATGAGCGGCGGCTGGGATACGAGTCAAACAATGAGATCAATTGTTTCCCCAAAACTTCTTCGGAACTATTTTCTGGATGTTGGCAAGTCATACTCCGAGCCTTCTTCCTGATACAGGAATCATGGCGTCAAACCTTGTCTCCATCGTCAAATCTCGCCATAAGTTCCCGACCACGAGCACCGTTGTATTTTCGACGCAACAGTTCCGCAACTGGACCATTTTCTGCTGACTTTGGGCAATCCGTTCTACAAGAGTTCATTGGTGGTCTCGGGAGTAACGAAATCGCGATAAAAGGCGGCGGCTTGCATAGGTCCGCAGTGGAAAATCAACATTCACAGTCAATCAATATTTTTCCATCATCAGTCTTCTCATTGTTCCGTCCAATCTCTACTACCGTAGTAAGTAGTGCAAATAATGGATTCTCAGTGGTCCAAATAACGCAATACATCGTCTCATTCTTTAACTGTGATGGTGTCGGTCCATGCTCCTAAAACAAGCTACGACTTTAGTACCGGTAAGAGGTTTTTTATAACAAAAAACAGGAACACGAACGTTGGCAGGAACTTCGAGGATGAAAGATTATCGTCATCCTCATCAGAACGAAACGTCGACTTCTTTGAACAAACGCTGCAATCTGATGTGGTTAGGGATAGTCTTACATCTTTTTTGTTCTTTTTTACTTTACAGTTTCGAAGTTAGAGGGTTGCGGACCATCGGCGCTTTGGATGCAATACACTGCAGTTAGTTGTGCTTGTCCGACGATTGAGCTGAACGGTGAACTTTCAAAGTGGCGTTCCAAAGAAGTTTCCTTCTTCACGATGATCCCAGTCATTTCACAAAACGATTTTATTATGTCTCGAGCCGCTAGTGAAATTGGTCTGAAGTCACTTGCCTGCCGTCATGTCAGTCGTCGATTCGCCGTTATGTTCCGTCTGTCAGAGTGTCGTGATTCTCCAAAGTCGATTGTTTCTTGGGGAACTATGTCATTGGCAATCGCTTGGACTTGTTCCGACAGAAAAACATCCCAAAGATATTGATATTTGGCTAGCTAGAGAGGTTTGTGGTCAAGATAGTCGTCGTCAACAAATTTGCCTATCAGATCATGTTCGTGGCTGATTTTTTGAATTAACTGTAAAACGAAGATGGAAAAAAGAGGAAAGAAGTTGAAAAGGGGAAAAGGAAAAACAAAGAGGAAAAGCAAAAATGAAAGAACGACTCTGTCCGAACACTGCCCACGCAAACATGAGATTGTTGACGACAATTGCTTCTCATAACGTTGTCGAATTGCTTTTCGAATCGCCGCCGCATCCCGCTGCGGAATAAACTACAATTGCTTTTCGCATCGTTGCTCCGCTTTGGAATGAACTACATACGCTGTTCGAATCGTCGCATTCTAAAAGGTTGGCAGGTACCTCGTTATTTGTTCTATCAAAATCAAAGAAGGAACGATGCCGGGGACTTTTTCAAAAGACGATTAGGGTCTTATCATACAATTCTGCGCTCAAATAACAGACGACAATAGACTTTTCAAACGACAATTAGGGTCTTCCAATTCGAGCGACACCCGTCTTTACTGTTATTAAATTATCTAATAACGACCGGTACTGGACTCTTAAAACGACACATCATAATCTTCCGATCCGGCAGACAACCATCCAAACGACGACCGGTACTCGACTTTTCAAACGATGAATAAGGTCGTTCGTTTTGAAAGGTCTCACGACAGTGATCTGAGATCCAAAATTATGACCTCTACCAACAACGCTGTCACCTTAAAAGACAATGAATGAGATGGCCGTGAGCAAGAATCTGATCTACGTGCTTACTTATTATAACTGTTGGAATGGAAAATGTCGAAGTGTGATGGACAATAACAAAAAATGGACAAATCCAGCTTCTATTCGATTTCAATTCATTATCTCTGATCCTTCTCACTCCTACCGTCCTGTTCGTGGTAACACAATTCATACTACCGCAGTACAATTTTCCATGATACATTCTCACCAAATCATCGTTGACCATCACTCTCACTTCTCGTTTCAGTTCCACAATCTCTACAATTTTATTTGGTCAAACACTCACAAACAAACAAACAATTTCTTTGCTACCACCATGGCCGCACCCCCACCAAAGAATCTTTCGACTTCCATCGGTAGTCGGAACAAATAAAGGGAAGACCGAAAGCTCCCGGCAGACACTGCATCATCATTGACTATCGTTTTTTCTCCCCAATGTGGAAACGTACCCCGGAGGAGTTTCCGTGAAACACTCGAGCAACAACAACTGCTACTACTACGACGACGACATCAAGAATGACCACGACGACGGCGGTAATGGATGGATTTCCAATCAACCGATCTTTTGCTGCATTCTCATCATCATCCACCAGAGAAGCGTTTCCCATTGTTACAACAAAGAAAAGCAATCGACTTGCTCCCTACACCTTAGTCCGACACCTCGTCACTGTCGGAAATACTACCATGCAGTTTCTGGATCAAGAAGCAACGAAACGTACTGCTGCTGCTACTACTACTACTTCTTCTTCTTCAGATCGTTGTACTCCTTCCGATCGACTATCTCCCTACATCTCCATACAAGATGATGATGGGACCTTCACTACCGCATCCAATGTACCTATATTCAAACAACAAGTAGAGGAAGACGAGGATGACGATGAAACGATCGATGTGGACGTCAATGTTGAAATTGACGATGACGATCTGGACCAGAAACCTCGAGCCAGACGTCCCTTTCCTTAAGCTCGTTCGGATGTTTCTTTGTTGGAGCAAGACCAAGCCATCGTCAATGACATTGTTCCACACGAAACAATCGACTTGGAAAATCTCGAGACTCCCAGCGAAATGGACGATGAATCAACGACTGTCGAGACGCTGAAAGGGCGACAGGCAAATCACTTCCGACCAATTTCACTTGCAGGAGAAACGAAAGCTCGAGATATTATAAAGCCGTTTTGTATCACAAGTGCCAAAATCATCCAAGAGGAAAACTTTTTGGAAGTTCCCATATGCTGGACAACTCAAACGCCAAATGATCGCCACCAACTGTGGAGTTTATTGCATATTGAGCAGGGATGGATCGTCAATTTTGAATATTGGATCTGCCAAAAATTTTCAAAAACGATACCATCGATACCTAGGACTGTATGGCATTGACGCGTGGCGCTTCTTTGTTATAGTTGATTTCACCAACACCGACGAAATATGCAATAAACTCCACAGTTGGTGGCGATCATTTGGCGTTTGAGTTGTCCAGCATATGGGAACTTCCAAAAAGTTTTCCTCTTGGATGATTTTGGCACTTGTGATACAAAACGGCTTTATAATATCTCGAGCTTTCGTTTCTCCTGCAAGTGAAATTGGTCGGAAGTGATTTGCCTGTCGCCCTTTCAGCGTCTCGACAGTCGTTGATTCATCGTCCATTTCGCTGGGAGTCTCGAGATTTTCCAAGTCGATTGTTTCGTGTGGAACAATGTCATTGACGATGGCTTGGTCTTGCTCCAACAAAGAAACATCCGAACGAGCTTGAGGAAAGGGACGTCTGGCTCGAGGTTTCTGGTCCAGATCGTCATCGTCAATTCCAACATTGATATTTTCAACCACATTGATCGAATCATCGTCATCCTCGTCTTCCTCTACTTGTTGTTTAGTCGCATCATCATCTTGTATGGAGATGTACGGAGATAGTCGATCGGAAGGAGTGCCAAGATTGGAAGAAGGTGAAGAAGAAGCAGTAGCAGCAGCAGCAGCAGCAGTAGTAGTAGTACGTT